CACCCAAAACTCACAAATTGAATCTTACTTAATTGTAGAATCAGCTAGAAAATGGAAGTAGTACTGAGAAAGACGTGGTAGAACAACTTCGTAAAGAATTAGAAGCTAAATATAGAATGGAGTTAAATCGTAAACTAGATGAGGTCAATCTATATTTAGAAGAACAGAGTCGAGCTCGCGATAAATTAGATAGATCCAGGGGAGATAACGAGAATAAAATTCTATCGGATAAGAAACGTCTTGATGTAAGTATTGGAATGGAATTTGGATGGACTGGATATTATCCATTGAAAAAACAATACAATATTATTATCTATATGGACATTAAAAATAGATATCATGTTGACAAGCCTTAGTATCAAATACCATGTAGGGATTATTTACTAGGAGGTCTGTATAAAAGGGATGATGAGTTGATATACCTTTGTGGGCACATGGAAAGGGATATTGAGTTGACAAATTAAATATTCTAAAAGGGTATGCCTCGATGGCTTTGTGGCATATAGTTAGCTAAATGTCAGCTTGTATGTTGATAGGAAGCTGTCTGTATCACTTTATAAGTTTAAAACGTGACGTCTAGTTAGTATGCGATTCGATAAAAATTGTCATTCATTTGCTCACTTTTACTCTTCAACCAAATTGATACTTTCAGGATGAAAATACGAGTTTAAAGTTGAAGTATGAACAGGCCGTAGCGGCAAGAGAAAGTAAAGAAATAGAATCAAGACGATATCGTGATCTTTACGAGAGTGAAATGAGATGGAGGCTAAGATTAAGCGATCAGTTACAAGAGACGACTGATAAAACTTTAAGTCTCAAATCAAAATTAGCGTAAGTTTAAGACCTTCTCTTTATTGGGCATGCCAAAATGTCAAAAGTGACTATTTACCATCTTTATTTATCAGGAAAAAAATATAATCTCATAATAACTTGATCAGTATTGTTAGTCATGTGACTTGTAACTTACTATTCTTGTAACTTAATATTCTTGTAACTTGTAACTTACTATTCTTGTAACTTAATATTCTTGTAACTTGTAACTTACCATTCTTGTAACTTGTAACTTACTATTCTTGTAACTTACTTGTAACTTACTATTCTTGTAACTTACTATTCTTGTAACTTACTATTCTTGTAACTTACTTGTAACTTACTATTCTTGTAACTTAATATTCTTGTAACTTACTATTCTTGTAACTTGTAACTTACTATTCTTGTAACT